TAGGAGACTTTTTCAGTCTAAAAAGCAGCAAAAACTACTATTTTTCATCAAACTTTTTCAAACATGTCATAATAATATACAGTGTGTCCGTTTAAGTTGGGAAACTTTATTATTTATTTTACGTAAAAAAGTTACTCGTTATAAAAAGTTCTGCATTCTGAAAAAAAAATATGACTTTGTACTACCCCTGTGTAGTGTATACACTTCATAGTCCGAGTAAAAAGTTATGCCTATAGCCTATAGGCTATAGGCTATAGACAGCCCAGTTCTGCAACACCCATAGTGGGCCACGTTCGCATGGACGGTAGACGGTGGCTGATTACATCTCACATATGAGGAGCGTTTATTCAAAAAGGGACATGTCCATTTTAGCGATTTTCAGAAATAAGTCAAAAGCAAAGGAATTCTGTTATTTTTGACTTGTTTCTGCAAATCGCTAACATGGACATGTCCCTTTTTGAATAAACGCTCCTCATATGTCGCTGTACTGGCTTACTATTTAATAAATATAAATAGTATTTATATAAGCCGCTGGGTAGCGTGTTTTCGACTGTGATTACACCACGGCTAACTGGTACTGATGCGGTCTTATAAGACCGAAACAGGCTGTCTATCGGTGCCTGGTTGTGCACTCTCTAAAAATGAATTAGTCAAAAATGACATGGTTAACCATGGTCCATGGGATACCATCAAGATACATACACCTTAAGATAGGATGGTGCGCATGTTGGGCGGGGCTTAAATACGTCACTTGTTGAGTATTTTTAAATATTTAATACCTGCTGCTAAAATTCTTGTTTTTGCGATGCTGTTGGATGTTAACTTGGTCTATTTTTTTGTTTAACTTGTTGTTTTAGCGTTCGGTAACGTCGAATTACTTTTCTGTGTTATTTAGTTGTGTTAACCTGTTCTGTTTGTTTATTATTGTTTTTGTATTGCGTTAACTTTTTTTGTTTGAGTTTTAGTTTTTGTCGTGCCATTTTTCATTAAAATGCGGTGTGGCATATTTGGATGCAATTCGGACAACCAGTCCAAGAAAAACCCTTTAAATAAAAACATTAAATTTCATCGATTCCCGAAAAACTTTGATTTGTGCAAACAGTGGTTAAATGCCACAAAAAGAATAGACAATATTAAGGTTAAGACTGCTTTTATTTCCACTAAACATTTTCTGGTCAGTGACTATAAGTTTAATTTAAAACACCAACTCTTAAACTACAGCCCTAAATATTAAGGACTGAAAGTATCTATTATCCATATTATAACACTTTCTTGAATATTAAGTTTAATAAAACTATGCGCACTACTACGCACTATGTCGAGATATTTCTCTATTTTCTTTGATAATATTACTATTATTCGTGTATACGCACGGCAATTACTCATCAAGTGACGTCATCCGCGGCACGAACCAAAACTCGTTCACGGAAGCATCCAGCCCTGGGTTGTGTACTCTCTAAAAATGAATTAGTCAAAAATGACTATAGGTTAACCATGGTATAAGTAACTATGGTTACTTATACCATGGTTAACCATGGTCCATGGGAGCGAGTTTTTGTCTCAGAACTCCCAAATCATTGAGTTTAACAAAATTGACTTAAGAATATTTTTAGAAGAAAATTGAATGCTCTCCAAAAATGGTTTGATTGGAATTTCCCGTCAGATGAACCGTTTTCTTACAATCATGCCTTAAAAATTGGTAAAGTTTTACAATTTGATCTTTTAACTTTGGAATTTTGTAATTCATGTAAAAATCAGTACCCTGAAAAAAAAACGATAAATATTCTTATGGGAAATCAAATGCTCTACAAAAAAAGTCTTTTATCATTTTTGGCTAAATTTACTCCATCAAAAGTTATTCAAGGTTAAATTTGAAGTCAAAACGAATTGGGCAATTATACATGGAAATTCACTGCTAAATGTTCGGGATGCAAATTGCTATTGACGAGAATAATAATTATTAGTGGCTGCATTTTTGACTAATTCATTTTTAGAGAGTAGCACGCTTGAAACAAAAGCAACAGTGACGAGGTATTTGGCCATTTCTCAGACTTAATCTTGTTGGCCAGTGTTATTTAAGCTCTTTATCGCATGTTAAAATGTAAGTTCTTAAGATAATGTGTAAGTGTTTGGTCTACAGGTTCAAAACACTCGACTCGATTATATACTCGTATGATTTAACTTCTGTGTCCTGTTATTTTTAGTTCAATTGCAACATTGAAATTTTAAATTAAATTGCAAAAACTAAGACAGTGGTGTCATAAATAGTTTTTATGCAAACAAAAATAAGCGGAATTCATTTAAGAAACTATGTATATTTAATTGGGTTAAATAATACGGATCTTTATTTTCCATTTGCAATGATTATTTGCTAAGTAAGCATATGAATTAAGAAATACAAAAAACCCATACAAAATATCTAAACTCTATTTTATTGTATCTATCTAATTGGGTTCGTATTGTGCACCTTAAGAAGGGCGTGTAAATTCGATTCCTAGCAATGATATGGCATATTTTTATCTCGTAAACTTACATACAGGATGTTCCAGTTTATATCATGTTATTTTTAAGGGTTTTCTAAAAAAGTTTTTTATGGATTTTGAAAACAAGTACTTTTTTTATACAGGTATAAATAGATTCTTATCCCCTAAACATTTTTCAAAAAATTCCAATTTTTAAGCAATCGCACATACTTGCCACAAACGCAATAATATGTACATATGTACCTCTAAGTATATATTTTGAGAAGGTGTTTATTTTTTAACTTAATTACCAGTCCTATTCGCCTCGGACAAAATGGAGACTAGCAGCTCTTAGAGCATGGAAATTATACATTTTTTGTCAAACTAGTCAAACCACGTCAAAAGTATCAATGCATTTTTATTGATTTTTTGGAGAGTAACGATAATAATTATTATAATTATAATTATTATAATAATTGTAAAAATCATTTCGTGGTCCGAAAAGAAACAATTTTTTTTTCTTTTTAGATTACTAGAATAAGAAGGCAGAGTACATTTTATAAAATGTTAACTGCCATGGTAGGCTTACAAGGTATAAATAATTTAAATTCTTTCAATAATTGTTATTAAAAATTAAGTTTAAGTTTTTTTGCAAATAATATTTTTTGAAAATAATTAAAAAGAAAACATTTTTTAACTTTGAAAAATATTTATTTAAATTATTTAAACCTTCTAGGGGTACCATTGCACTGAAATTTTAAACAGTTATTTAAAAAAATTCATCCAATTATTGCGAACGAGTCGTAAGTTACCTTTTTTTTAATGTTTTAAATTTTTATGTAGGTACCTACTCAAAATAATAAAAACGGTGCGAAAGTTTGAAAAATTATTTAAAATGTTTTTAACGTTACTAACTTTATAAATTTAGTCTTTAACATTGGCAACGAAGGGATTAAACATGATTTTTGAATTTTAGAATTCGGAAAAACATTTACAGTTTAATTAATTATTTTTTGTAAGCATTTAATTGTTTATCCCTTGGATGTTATTGGGGTGGCAAAGATTCCATTTTTATTGTTTGTCAAAACATTTAATTTACATTTAAATTATAATATTTACGATTTGTTTATTTGTAGGTATTTCGTTATAAAAATTGTACTTATTCCTGCATTTTACATTTACCATTTAATAACGAAATTTACATCAATTAAAAATAAAGTATATACCCACTATTTTAAATTAAATTTGACAGTTTACGTGGTAACCATAGATATCGTCAATTCACCTGTCACAGGTTTCCTGATACAGAATATTATTTAAAATTTTATAAATTGTTAAATATCTTCTAAATTATTAACTTTGGTTATAAGTAATGGTAACTTCAATCGAAAGGTTTTTTAATTTACTATTTGATTATGTTATAATATACCGGGTGTTACATTTAAAATAAAAAGTTATTAACCTTTCAAGTTACCCTAATTTGCCCTGGGTTTTTTCAGTTAATTTGTTGAAAAATGTTAAAGAATTGACATGGAATCTTTAAAACAATTAAGATTACAAAAATTTCACCGCCATATCCGCAAACTTAATAACAAAAAAAACTATTCACTTTAGGACATGGTATAGTAATTTTACTCAGAATTTTATGTGGAATTTAAAAATGTATAAATATATTGAGTGTTCTATTTGAAATAAAACAAGTTGATGTCATTTCCGGAAGTGTCATTTTGTCCAAAATATTAAAAAAAAAAATAGACTTAAATGAATTATAAACGCCGTTAAAATTTCAAATCGATATCTTTTTTCGTTCCCCAAAAACTTCTAATGAACCACGAGTGTGAAACACCCTGTATATGTTATTTTTAATTTACTAGTAAGCGTTTTACGTACCTATGGAAAGAGTATAATCCCATTTTCCAATAAAATTGAGACATTGATCAAAATTGAAATAGTTTTAAAAAATGGTTTATTGACTTAATGCAAATAATAAAAATTTATCTTAGTTCCAAAAAAGTCTATTAGTTTTTGAAATAAAAATCAATAAAAAAATTAGTTTTTGATTCGCGATTGTTTATAAACAAATTGAGTGGAATTTTTCGAAATTATTTTAGGATCAAAAAACTGTTTTGACTTATATTCTGAAATATATTTCAGATACAATTATAATTTTATCTAAATTTGGGATGGATATATAATATAAATTTTATGTCTAAAGGAAACACATTATTTAAAGTATTTTTAATTTACCGGGTGACTATTTTTCCCGTAATTTTTCATGTAATCTAACCGAACTTTTTTCTTGTACGCCGCTATTAACATCCTGATACTCAAAGAGCAAACTTATTTTTCGATAAACTATCGTCTGGTGAAATTGTGATGATATAAACTTAACCACCCGTTATAGATTTGACCTTTGAGGAGGTGAACTCTGTTACCCAAAACCGTGTAATCGAAGTAGGTACCCCTCGATGACTCATTCGAGTGCGAAATATCGCATCGACTTCTCCATGGGATCTCGACACTCCCGGATGCGGAGATCTCACCTAGAGGGGACCATCCAAAGCCGGCTCTTCGTCAAGGAAAGTCGGTCAGTGGGTTCCCAAGTCGGCAGTTGTGCGTTGAAAGCGGACCGGAGAGGTTTTGATTTCACGTTGTAATAAGCCAGTGTCGTTACACTGTTGTGTATAAACGCTGCACCAGGTGTACAAGACTTTATTCTAGTGATTGTGCTGTAGATTGTATAGGATTATATTTTACAAGTTTATATATTTTGTGAGTATTTTTTTATTATAAATTTTAAAAGTAATAAATCATTAAATTTTAACTTTAAAGTATAGATTTAGGCTTAATTGCTACAGGGTCCAGTCATAATTTTACCAACCAATAAAATAAAGGTAGTTTGTCAATTAAAAATTATTTGAATTTTGATTTCTCTTTGAGATACAGGGTATTAAAGTTACACTAGTAGTATTTTTGTTTTTTAATATCATACACCCGGTTTACTAAAAACTGGACAACTTTAGAATACACTATCGGACAAAAGTAAAGCAACTATTTAAAAGAGACACTTATTTTGTAGGTATCTTCGTACCAGAGCTGGTCAAGTACTGAGTACTTTTACTCGTATTTCAATTACGAGTAAAAAAGTACGAGTACTTTTTTACTCATAAGTATTTTTAAGTATTGTTCATTTTAAATACTTATTACTCGTACTTACAAACCAAATTCAATGCACGCGTAAAAAATACTCGTGGAATTCACGAGTAATATATACGAGTATTTTCGTTTATTATATGGATGACTTATGCAAAAATATCGTAAGCATCAAAACATTTTGTTTGGAAGTCTGTTTTAGATTATATAATTTATTATAGCCTATATATAGGTTTTATACAATTATTATATATTTATTATTATAAATTTGTATTAGTATTTTTATAGCTCAGGACCAAAGTATACATACTGTATAATGTAAACTAGACTGGGCCAAAAAAATCAACTTTTTTTTTGTTTAAAAAGTATATCGAAAATATGGTTTGGGGTGACAAAAAAAAATTATTGTGAAAGTTTGAGTCCATAATATTAATATTAAGAGGTCTATCATCGCAATTTTAAATTTATTTCCTCAGCAAGTTTTTGTCTCAGAACTCCCAAACTATTGAGTTTAACAAAATTGACTCAGAAATCAGGCCTTAAAAATTGTTATAGTTTTACATTTTGATATTTTAACTTTGGAATTTTGTAATTGATGTAAAAATCAGTACCCAGAAAAAAACTGATGAATATTCTTATGGGAAATCAAATGCAAAGCCTCTTAACATTTTTGGCTAAATGCACTCAATCAAAAGTTACTCAAGGTTAAAGTTGAAGTCAAAACGAATTTCCTCTGTAGATTTAGTTTTTTATGGGTGATAATTTCATTTTTTTCTTTACAAATGTGTATTATATAACTAATTAACAATTTCCAATAAAAAAACATGATTGTTATTATTTAAACGATTAAATAGGTAACAGAAAATAATATTTTCTAAAGAAAATAGCTTCTTAAATCGAAAAAACTCTAATGTGTTTAATGTTTTTTTTTAATTTTCAGTAATTTTATCAATAACATAAAGATTATCAATAAAAGAATTCAAGTTTTTAACTGACCCAAAAAAAAATTTAGAGCGGAAAAAACAAGAATTTTGTTTTGACTTCAAATTTAACCTTGAATAACTTTTGATGGAGTGAATTTAGCCAAAAATGTTAGGAGACTTTTTTTAGAGCATTTGATTTCCCATAAGAATATCTATCGGTTTTTTTCCGGGTACTGATTTTTAATGAATTACAAAATTCCAAAGTTAAAAGATCAAATTGTAAAACTATACCAATTTTTAAGGCATGATTGTAAGAAAACGGTTCATCTGACGAGAAATTCCAATCAAACCTTTTTTGTAGAACATTTTAGAACAATTTTATTCAAAAAATATTCTTAAGTCAATTTTGTTAAACTCAATGGTTTGAGAGTTCTGAGACAAAAACTCGCTCAGGAAAAAAAATCTAAATTTGCGATAATAGACCTCTTAATATTTATATTATGGACTCAAACTTTCACCATAATTCTTTTTTGTCACCCCAAACAATATTTTCGATATACTTTACAAAAAAAATAGTCGATTTTTTTGGCCCAGTCTAATGTACTCTCTAAAAATTAATTAGTCAAAAATGACTAGTTACCACAGTCATTAGTGAAAATACCGTCAAAAATTATGAAAGTGGAGCAGTTTTTGATATATAGTCAATTCCGTATTATATGGAAAATGGACTATATCTCAAAAATTGTTCTACTTTTCTAACTTTTGACGAGGATTCAGGGAACAATTTTACATGGAAATTGACTGCTAAATGTTAAAAATACAAATTGCTATTGACGAGAATGGTTAGTGGCTGCTTTTTCGCTATGACAATTAGTCATTTTTGACTAGCCCATTTTTAGAGGGTAAAGAATAATCAGTTATATTAAATAACTTTTTTTTTTCAAAAGTACTCGTACTCTTTACTCGTGTTTTACGATTATTACTCGTAACCGTAACCTATCTTTACAAATGTACGAGTAAAGTATTTAAGAGTAAATATTTTAAGTACTCGTACTTAAATTTTTACTAATACTTTTAGTTCTCGTGCCCAGCTCTGGTTCGTACACCTTTTCAATATTCCACCAAAATTTAATTTAACGTATTATTTGTAAAATATAACAAAACATTTCTATCAACATCGGTTATCATTTAAGTATTTAAACTTGTACAAAAAGAAATTTTTAATTGACTAAAAAATTAAAAATATGGGTGGAGCTCAAACCGTGGAGGGTTATAGAAGTAATAAATATTATTATAAAAGTATTAACTTAATAATTAATAGGATATACTTTGTTGGCCATAAACTACAGATCAATGCTGTGGGTAAAAGGCATAGGGGGATAAGTCAAAAAAAGCAATTTTTCAGTAGAGCCTTAAACGTTTTCGCATTAATTCAGGAAACATATTTATGGTTAGCGGGTATACCCTTTTTTTAGCCCATGTCATATGCTAACAAAAGCGTATACCCGCTAAACATAAATATATTTCCTGAATTAATGCAAACACGTTAAAGGCTCTATTGATAAATTGCTTTTTTTGACTTATCCCCTTATGATTTTTACCCACATAATGGTCTATGCTATAAATCTGTGGGCATGGACGCGGAATCGATTAAATTAAATTTTAGCTAGTAGTAATCAATAGATTTGTCCAGTCCTTTATCAATCAAATATTGTTTGTTTGTGGTACGAATCCGACGTCCAACCTCTTCCCACAGGTACTCGATGGACTGGCCACTGCAGAACCTGGACTTTGTATACAAAAACCACTAACCGCTCCTGAACCAGGCGTAAATCCAGGATTTACGGGGGGAGGCCATTTTTGTGTGATTTAACCTATCTCCCATAAAATTCGCTCTAACAACGTATAAGTAATATTTAAATAATGTCTTATGAAATATGAATATGAAATAAAAACAAAAACCAATTTTGTATTTTGGCAAAATAAAGTTCTTCGATCGGGAGTCAGGGGTGACCCCATTGTACCCATTGCCCCCCTCTGTATCCACGCCTGTCCTAAACAAGATGAGTGTTTTGGATTACATTACATATCATTAGGCCAACTCCCTTTTTCGGGCTTTATTGTTGGTGTAACCTTATAAGGTTATATACTATGTATAGAGTATATGGTATATATACTCTCCAGTTTAAATAACGTGTGCAAATTTAACCCTAGCAAGACGAGTTTTTCCCAAACTAAGCTTTTTGCCTAAATGGCCAACTAATCTTCGTTCAACTGTCCTTGCTCTAACTTCTAATTCAGCATTTAATGCGATCTAACCAAACCGGAGTTCCTGATTTTGGCATGTACATGTCCTCTTTGATTGTAAATTGCAATTATTTTGGGCAAAACAAAATCTTTTCTTCCAAAAAGGCGTTTATCATCATTTTTTTTTACCTCCTCCTTACCTTTTGGCATATTTATTTCTAGAAATTTTTTTTAAAATAAGCTTAACTGTCCTTTTTAAGCTCAAAGTTTAAAGGCTACAATTAATCGATGCACAAAAAGAAACTTTTCAGCCGCATAGCATACAACATTTCATCTTCAAAGAAAAAATTTATTTGTTAAAGGGCACACAAAAACCTACAATTATAATAATAATTATTAAAAGTAGTACGTAGAGAGATCTGACACTAGTCGAATTTTTTGATTGGTGCAAATGGGTTTTTTACAGATTAGGAGGTAAAAAACTTTACCCGTTTGGTCTAAATTATTTTTAGCCTAGCCTTTGGTAGTGAGTGTTGACAATAATAAAGTTTAAATTATATATAATTATTCTATAGAACGCCTATAGTTAAATATTTTTTATTCAGATAATTCTACTTTACTAAGTTAAAACTGACAGTTGTCAGATGTCAGATAAAATATCAAATAAACTTGGCTTTAAATTCCTTTCATTAATTGAATAAAATATTGTGTGCGACTTAGGGCCGTCTCTAAGGTTTTGGCCGCTCCGGGCAAACTCGAAACGGCCGCCTCTCGAAATACACCGCCATAAAAAATACACTACAAATATTTGGTAACATTTAATAAAAAGTTAGAGTAAACTTAAAAATTCAACATATCAAAAAAATTATTAAATATAACAAATTTTCTCTATAAATAAAATATTTTATTTTACATATCGCTACCTTGGTTTAATATGGTTCTATCTGCCATTATCTCAAAAATTAAATTTTTGCATAAAAAGGTTCAATGTACAATGTAGAAATCCTTTTATGCAAAAATCACATTTTCGAGAAAATGTCTGATAGAACCATGTTAAACCAAGGTAGCGATATATAACTACATAGGTACATAAGTAATAGCTAATATAGCTAACAACAAACTTAAAAACTTGTTTATAATATATACACTAGTGGAAAAAATTAAAAGATCAAAAATGTATTCCAAATTTTTAGCAATTTTTCAAATGACTGTATTTTTGTTAAAAATGGCCGTATCGAAGTTTAAAAAAATCAATTTGAAGTTTCAAGTTTCTAATTTTTGGGCCTTAAGACGAAAAATTTTTGCAAGCAACAAGTATCGCGCAATCCTATAAGATTTATTATAATGAATATCGTGAAGAAAAAGTTTCAATTTTTTTTTGTTTTTTATTTTCTGTGTACGGACTAGGTTGTTTATCCAGCTTTAATTTGTTGGCTGATACGACCATTC